CCCAACGAGCTAATTATAGAAATTAGCTTTTGAATAAGCAGGTAGCTCCTATGAATAAGCATATAGCTCAGCTGATTTGAGTAAATAATGTGGCAGGTGTACGTTGGAGGAGATTTGGGTGAGATTGCAAAAGCTAGGGAGTGTCGATAAGAGGTAAGCAATAAGAAATTAAATCTAATTTTAAGAAATTAGGTATGCATGTTGCATGCGATTCTAATTAATATGTTAATGTAATATTATGTGAATCATTTTGTCAATGCATGTATATATTTATATATATGTGTGTGCGTATGCATGTGGGAGACTTCATTGTTTATGATATTTGATATACGTATTTGATCGCGTGGATAAATTTATGAAAAGGAGGATAGGTGAGCTGTCTCACCAGCCTTTTTCAATAAATTCACTTATTTGATATGTTGCACACATATTGCACGATTTATCGGATATGTTTTATGGATCTATCGTTTAGTCTCCTTGTGCGGTAGTGCTAGGCGAGGGCATCATCTGGGGTTAGAATATTCCACCCCGATGTACCGTAACACTTTGGCGATAGTGGACGATAGTAGTCGGACAACTGGGTGACTTAGTCACACGGTCATTCAGGGATTAGACCCATTGTAGTTGAGACGTATTTGGTCTAATCATTCGTATTCGGTGTTGTTCCACTCATTAGATTTGCACCTGGTGAGGTCTACCGGTAGTTTAGCATCATATGCCAAACTCCAAACGTGATCCCGTTAGTTCGTGAGGAGGAGTAGAGTTTCCTGGTTTCCCTTGGGTGATTCCAGGTTGCTCGGATTTTACTACATTACACGGGATAGGGCTAGTCAGTGGGGGCCCTATCTTCGCTATCACAGACTATAGGGCGTCTTGTGGTTAATGGCAACAACGTTCGGCTATCCATGTATTGATTGTGGGAGTCATATGGTGGGTATATGGAAGTGACCGGATGACCGTTATATTATTATGGGTTTATCAGGTCCTTCCTTGAGCCAAGGATTTTCAAACTATTTATTGATGATGGTCTAGTGAGCTTGTTATTACGGGGCCGAGGTTATTCCGGCTACTCACTTCGGTGGATGTATATATATGTGGATGTGCATTGTTGTCGAGTTTGATATCTTTGTTGCATCGTTTCACTATTGGCATGACTTGACACGTATTTTATGATTGACGGGAATTAGACTTTATTTTAAAAAGGTATGAAATGACATATTTCACGTTAGTTCTTAAAATGGATTTAATTCTAGACTGCTTTTCAGAAAAATATTTGTTTCAGGTATGCATGGGACGTCCGAGGCAGGGGATGTCTCGGGATATAGAAAGACGGGCTGAGTGAGTGAACTTACATCTATTGTATTATATGTAAATTTTTAACCGAAAAAACCTCTTGTTTAGGAGCGTGTTTGTAAATATTCATAAATTAGATTTTGTTATATAATAATGCGCTTTTATGGTTAATTTTAGCCTTAACACTGTATTGTGGGGCCCGAAGTAGGAAATGACGACCTCATGATGCAATATGGCGGTATCATTTCCAGTATGAGCCAACTGGGGGTGTTACAAAAAATAACCAAATTTTTGCATAATCTCTAATTCTCTATTACTTAAATGACCTAATCTCCTATGCGACAGTTCAATGTTATCTTGGACAGCATTAACACACATTTCACATTCAACAACAGCTATAGCAGTCACAACATAGAGGTTATTTCTCAAATCAGCCTTAAAAACAACTAGAGTACCCTTTGTAATTTTCATAAAATTCATTCATCATTTTCCTTTAGCCATAGGGATGAGAAACCAACACAAGAAAGTAAATTATTTGACAGATTAGGCACATGTCTTACATTGCAAAGTTTTAGCACATTGCCCAAGTTAAACTTTAAAACAACAGTCCCTGTCCCCTTAACACTACAAACCCTATTATCAGCCATTGTTACATTACAAGTTGAAAGAGTTTTGTAATCACTGAAAAATTCTTTAAAAGAAGTCATATGATAGGTACATGCCGAATCTAATAACCATTTATTTTTGTTAAAATCAATTATATTCGAACATTTAACAGTTACAAAAAACATATCACCTAAACAATCATCATGTAAAATCAAGTTTGCATGTTCATTTGAAGTGGTATTAACAGGAGTTGTCCCATTGCTAACATTGCTATTATTATTAACATTGTTACGATTTTGCTTAGGACAATTCATAATAAAATGTGAAGGATCCCCATAATTAAAACAACGTTTGACGTACTTAGAGAGGGTTTGAGACCTATTCTTAGACTTACTTCTAGGTTTCTTCTTATGTTGACTATTATATAAATTATTCCATTGTTTATTGTTATTGGAAGAAGAGCCATCCTTACTAGGCCTAGAGAGAGATCCACCCCTAATATACATGACTTCACCATGTAACTGTTTACTAGTTTTATAAAGTTATAAGTCAATTTCTTTAATTTTTAGACCATTTATAACAACATCAAGTGTAATCACATCCCTACCATATTTTATTGTTGATTTTACATCTGAATATGAACTAGGAATGACATTTAACAAGACAATAGAGTTGTAATCATCTATATTTTTATCCCCAGTCAGTCTTATATCTTGAATTAACTTGGTAAAAAATATCTAGAATTTCATTTATTGTCTTAGAAATGTCTAATTTGAAGGTAGAGAATTTTTCTAGAAGGTATATTCTATTTGGAAGAGAGGTTTCAGTAAACATATTGTTTATTTGTCTCATAAGTCCTTAGCCGATTCATAAACCCCTAATTTCTAATTACATGGTTAGGTAGGTTCAAAATAATGCACGATAACACTAGCTCATCCAGTTCATTCCTCTTAGCAAAAGGAAAATCAATTGTTTGTTCTAATCCAACGGCTTTAATCAATCTTTGAGTTACAAGGACATTTCTTATCTTTTATTTCCAAATAGAAAAATCAGTTTTTCCATTAAAGGGTTGTATATTAAAGTAGGTTTGATTTGTCATTTCATAGAAAATAAAATAAAATAAATCTGATTTGATAAAATTGTTTTTAGCAAAGAACATATTTAAGAAAACAAATAAAATCACACAAAATTTCACAAACCGGCCACAATCTCACACAAACAGATTAAGGGAAAAAAAGATTTTAGTTTTCTAAACACCCAAAAGATCACCAATCAGTTATGCAGAGACTCAAAACAGATTTGTAACTAAACACACAAGAGAAAACCACACAAATACTAATATATTTAAGGAGCAGTTTCTTGTTTTCAAGAAACCAACTCAACTAATTGTTGGTATTTGCCACAAATTTTAATAGATTTGACAACTTTAGCAAGATACACACTGAACAGTTACAAAAAGACACAAAACAACCACAACACAATGAACCCCACATGTTTAATATGGAAAAAATGAAAATGTTACCGACTCCTAGCTCCGCAACAGTTCTTTGACTTTCTTTTAGTAATCTAAGAGACTCCACATGTCAACACCTTGTTCACTGTGCACTTAATACACATATTAGTAAAGTTTGGATGGTACAACTAAAAAAAAACCATAGAAATCAACCACGTTGGGATGATTTCAGATGTAAATCTCCTACAGGACTTGTTTCAGTCCTTCACAAGGAGAAAACAAACTTTACAAAAGTGAAAAACGCCCTAAATCCAGGCTTCACTTCAACAGTGCTTCAAAAACAAGATTTTGAAAACAATCTTGAGTCTATTTACAAAAAACTTTTAATTTTTACAATGAGAACAAGTTTTTCAACATTAATTCTCGATTTCAAACTTTCCAGTAAACAAAACAAGCTTTAAACAGCTCTGATACCACTTTTAATCATAATTTCAAGATCGACAGCTTGTTATTTACACATAATTGAACAAAATTTAAAGAAAATTTAAAGGATCTTTTATATATCGAAAGCAATGAGTTCGGACTCAGGTTACCCAAGCAGAAATCAACTGTAATCCAACTATAGCACACAAACAAGCCCTAAACCACAACTGACATCCACGGAAATGCAACAAACATATGAATCAAACCCCGATCTAAGGAAACATCAACAATCTATGCCTATTCTCATTACGGACAGACAAAATACACCACGAACTGTAAAAAATGCAAAGATCGAGAAACCAAATTGAAGAATAGCCTCAACGCAAGCTGAACATCGAAGCCTGCAGTTGAAGCTCCTGATTCGCCAGATAGATCACTGGAGAAAACCCAAGGAAGACCGATTGGAACCGCTGTCGGGATGCTAAGGTTTTTAGAGAAATAAATCACGATGTGAGAATGAGTTAACCTCCTCGATGAATTCGCCCCAACATATATATATATATATATATATAAGAATAAGATTAGACCGGTTCAAACAGAATAGACAAGCAAATCGGCAGTCTCGCAAAGGTTAGGATCGGATCGTGATTACAGAATCCGGATTTCAGGTGGCGGATCGGGTTGTGCGCATCTGGAGGCACAAGTCACTGGCCCAAAAAACTCAACATACTTTAATCACATTTTAAATTTTATAATTTATAATTTTTTATCTTAATTAAATTATTTAGTTATCTTACTCTTAATTTATATTGATTTTTATTATATAATAATTATTTTTATTAATATATTTTTTAATTATTTAATAATTATATTTTACTAAAATTCTTATATATCGCTGATGCGGCCAAATTATCCCGGGCAGATAGAGTTTAATAAATAATACCGCACTTTTGACATCCTTCTTAAAGTGAATACAAAATTTTGTATGAAATTGTGTATTTTGTACTCATTTGAGACCCTCCGTTACACTATCGACAGCACAACCAAATTTGATAAGACCAACCACTAGAAAAAGCCATCTTACAAAACACACATACCAGATTCGTCCCCCGGTCCCGGACCACACCATTCTCTCCCCTCACCTCAATCCACCGTACACAACAGTCCAGGAACCAAAGTCCCGGTTCCTCCGAGCCCACCAACCAAAAAAAAAAAAAGTAAAAATAGCCTGTATCTAAGTGACACATCCCACACTTCCCTTCAAAGAAAGGAATTCCAAAATTTGCAAAATGCACCCTCAGATCTCATCCACAGTACTAATTAAATAAAACTCAGAATTATTTTCCAAAAAAAAAAAAACCATATGGCCGTGATCAAGCTTTTCTTGATCTCCTTCATCCTTACCTCCTTAATCATCTCCGCCGTCTACAACATTCCGACGAACCGGCGGCGCCACCCTATTCCGACGTATCGGCGGCGGACGTCCCTATTTATCCCCAACAACGCCCCGGGTCCGTACAACGCGACGTTCGCTTACCTGATCTCCGGCGCCGGCGGCGACACGATGAGGCTGAAGCGGCTGCTGCTGGCGGTGTACCATCCGGCGAACGTGTACCTGATCCACCTGGACGCGGCGGCGCCGGCGGCGGAGCAGCGGGAGATGGGGCGGTTCGTGGCGGGACAGGGCGTGTTTTCTGAGGTGGGGAACGTTTGGGTTGTCGGGAAACCGAACGTGGTGACGTACAGAGGGCCGACGATGGTGGCGGCGACGCTGCAGGCGATGGCGGCGCTGCTGCGGGCGGGGCGGCGGTGGGATTGGTTTATTAATCTCAGTGCTTCGGATTATCCGTTGATTACTCAAGATGGTATAGTCTGAATCTGATCCAGAGTGAGTCATGTTTTCTTTTCTTTTCTTTTTTTATTTTTTATTTTTTGTGAAAATACTTTTTAAAATAATTAGTACATTCAAAAATTAATTTTGATAATATTTATTTATAATATTTTATGAATACTATTTGTTCACTATTTTTATTTTTATTTATTTACATAATTTATCATTTTTTTTATAAAAAATAATTATTATTTTATCATAGTATTTTAAATTTATAATTAATAATTTTTTAACTTTTATTTAAATTAATTAATTATTTTAATTTAATTTATAATTATTTTATAATATAATAAGTAGTTTTATTAATATATAGTTTTAATTATTTATTAATTATATTTTTTTTAAATTTCGTGTATATAAGAGTAATTTCTTTACATTTCTGTTTTTTTTTTTTAATATCATATAAGATGTTTTTTTATTTTTTTATTCTCTATAAAAAAAATTAAATAAATAATTATAATGATATTTTTTATAATAATATACTCTAAATCTATTTTTTTTCCAAAAAATATTTATTATTTATTTATTTAAAATAATATTTGCATATTTTTTAATTTATATCTTTCAATGTTGAAATTTTATGTACAATTATTTGCATATTCAATCTTAATTTTTTTTTTTTTCATTTAATTAATACAATCATTTAATACTTTCTAAAATATTTTTATTTTATATTATAATCAATTAATATATCATTATATTTATTAAAATTTGTGTTTAATCTAGTACAAATTGCAATTTTTTTTAAAAAATGTTATGCAACAAGTTTAATAAATAAAAGAAGTATAGGGATAAATTTATTTTAGACAAATCAAAATAATAAAATAAATAAATTGATTTTGGAAGCGACGGAAGGTGTGTTATTTTTCAAAATTTTCAAAATTATAATACTTTTTTTTTAAAAAAAAAATATTATATAAATTGATCGAAATAATTTTTTTTTTTTTACATATATATTTTTTTATTATTATTTGTAAAAGTAATAGATTCGATAGATTAGTTTATACTTTATATATATATATATATATTCTTTTTTACCATACAATCCTTACAAAAATACATTAATCCAATCCAATAATTATGAGTGAATGATTCGAAATTGTTCATACATATATGTCGTATTTGAAGCAGAATATGCCTATCATAGAAAAATAATTTGTAGAAAATAAGTTTTTAATTCCATATTTTAAGCAAATAGAAAAGATCTATTCTTAAAATATACTCCCTCCGTCTCAGATACTATGTCCACGTTGCCGTTTCTGTCCGTTCCACATACCATATCACTTTTGTTTTTTGGAAAAATGATTACACACTTTAATCTCATTTTAAATTTTTAAATTTTATTTTTTTTAATTTTAATTAAACTAATTAGTTATCTTAATCTTAATTTATAATTATTTATATTATAAGATAATTATTTTCACTAATACATTCTTAATTATCTACTAATTACATTCCTCCTAAAATACTGTGTGTACAGTGTTTAGGGAGTATTTTTTTAATTAATAGTGTTAAAAATTTTAAATGCATACATAAATTGAATTTCTTTAAATTTTGATTGCAGATCTGATACATGCCTTCTCTGACGTGCCTAAAGATCTCAACTTTGTACAGCACACCAGTCGCCTCGGCTGGAAATTGTACGTAACAATTTTAATTTATTAAATGGTAAAATTGTTCTCAACTTCCTCATTATTTCAAAATTAAGCGTAAAATTTCTTAGTATTTTAATTATTGCATGACACATCTTATATTTTAAAAAATATTGTATAAAACCCTACCACCATGAAAATTTTTTTGTATGATGAGAAGATAATTTTATACCTGTATATCTTGCATGGTGCAATATTTTTTAAAGTATAACAGAGCGCCATCCAATTTTTTAAAGTAAAATGGAAATTTACGCTGAGTTTTAAAACTACATTGAGGTTTCCTGCAATATTTTTTAAAACATAAGAGATGTCATGCAATTTTTAAAGTAAAAATAATTTACGCTGAATTTTGAAATCATGAGCAATTTTGCCTTGTTAAATTTGACCTCAATTTTATATTAATTTAGTATTTTAAAAAATTCGAATATATAATAAAAAATAATAAAAATAAGTTGGGGTGCAGGAATAAAAGAGGGAAGCCAATAATAATAGACCCAGCTTTGTACAGTGCCAATAAATCAGAAATTTGGTGGGTAATTAAGCAGAGGGCTCTTCCTACTGCCTTCAAGCTTTATACAGGTATTTATTTATTTATTTATTTATTTATTTATATGATTCTCTTTTGCACTTTATATTTATTTATTTTATTTATCTAAAAATATTATTGTTTTTATGGGATTCCAAAAGAATAAGCATTACATGTGGGCTTCTGAAAACAATGCCCCACAACAAAATTAAAGCCTTAAAATCTTTAACTACCCTATATTTAGAGCTGTTACGCGAGCCGAGTCGTCGGCTCGGTTAAAGCTTGTTCGCGAACGTTAACGAGTCGAGCCGAATAATATAAACAGACTCGTTTGGTTAATGAACGAACCCGAGCTTTGTTTGCAAACGTTCGCAAACGTTCGTTTAAATAATATATTTATTATAAATATTATATACACATATAAAATTATAATTTATAAATAAATAAGTATTAATTTAAAATATATAAATAAAATAATTTTGAATTTTCTTTATAATTTATATATAAATTTTAAAAAATAAGACAAACGAGCTCGAACGAGCTTAATCGAGCCTAAACGAGCTGAATACGAATACAAGCTCAAACAACAAAAATTCTTAATGAGTCAAGCTCGAACACTACGAACGAGCTCGAAAGCTTAACGAACGAGCCCGAGCTTTGTTCGCGAACGTTAACGAATACTTAAAATTTGGCTCGACTCAGCTCGGCTCGGATCATTAACAGCTCTACCTACATTACTACATGCATATATATATATATATATAAGACAACATATTAGGTTTGTCTAGTGTGATTTGTCTATTAGGTCTAATTTGTATTGTATTAGGTTCAGCCGAGAATTTAAGCCAGCATATTAAATATAAATTTATAACACATATAAAAATAGAACTTCCCGCAAATATTTGACACAATATATATTGTATATTATAGTTTTATATGTAATTTATAGTATTTTTTTTATGATGCTGATAAATCTTCAATAAATAGTCTAAACAAATATATATATATATATAGATACACAAATTAGTTAGGTATAGTCGGTGCAAGTTGTCAATTGTAGCACTTGCAAGCAAAGGTTGGTAATGATTTATTTCATACCAACAAATCCTTTTTTATTATTTATATCCCAATATTTATTAATTATATGCATCACTTTCATATATATATACATATATATTCCATCTTTATTTCAATATTTTTATTTTAAATTATTTTTATAAATTATACTTTTTTTTCTCCCCTATCTCAATATATATATATATATATTTCTTGGTTTTCTTTTTTTTTTTTCATAAAAATTATACTATTTTTTTAGAAAAAATTATACTTTTTTAGTTTTTACTAAAAATGTATATATTACTATAAATACAAAAATTTAGGTTAAATACTATTAATAAAAAATTAAGTAATTATTGTATAATAAAAATAGTTTAATTAATGTTAAAAAAATATAAATTAAGAAATTTTAAATGTAACTAAAGTGTAAAATTATATTTTAAAAAATGAAGAAATAAATTATGTAGATAGAAAAAAAAAATAAACAGTTGAGGTGGACCTGAGAGAATATTATTTTTTTTACTTTATTTTATCTATTTTTTATTTTTGTTATTATAAAAGAGAAAAGTACATAATACACTAAAATTTTACTATTCATCCAAAAATTTTCACTCAGAAACATCAAATCAAACACCTATTTTTAATTTTTTATTATACTAAAAATCAATTTTACATTCGAAACATCACATCAACACTTATTTATATCACATTATACAACTATTTAAATTCAAAATTTTTACTATTCAAATTTTAAATTAAAATCCAAAACGTCCAAACAAACACACGATAAATTTGGTAGCCAAATAAATTATATATACTTTTAGACAACAAAGGGAATAGTATTTAAATTATTTTATTATTAATTATTGATAAATATGAAAATGTTATTAATATATATATATTTTGTTGGCTTTTTTAAATATTATTTAAAAAAATATATTATATTAAAAATACTGGGTATCAATCGAAAGAAAACACACAAGTATTTAAAGCAGTCTAACGCATTTCTATTTTCAAATTAAAATTAAAATTAAAATCGCACCGACACTAATACGCCTTTTAATTTATTAATGGAGGCCATGTGAATTTTATTGGACAAAGAGATTTTTTCTCGGTTTATTATTACAATTATTTTTTAAATTAATAATTTCAATATTTTTTTTAAAAAAAATAATTCTCTCTGCGTCCCAGATATCATGTCTACGTTGTTGTTTCTGTCCGTCCCACATAGCATGTCATTTTCCTTTTTTGGAAAATAATTACACACTATAATCAAACTTTAAATTTTTTAATTTTCACTAATAAATTCTTAATTATCTACTAATTAATCCCTCCTAAAATACCGTGTCTACTGTGTAGCAGACACGGTATCTGGAGACGGAGGGAGTATATAGTTAAAACTTCAAAGTTTATTTATTTTATTTTGACTATGTTGTTTTGGGTTAAACAGTGTATATGATATTTTGGGAGAGAATTAATATAGTATTATGTTTTTCATTCCTTAAAATTATATTACTAATTTTTTTAGTTGTCTATTAAATTTATATTTATTTCACTTTCAATAAATACTAATTAATCTTTTTACTACTATCTCCGTTCCACATTAGTGTCTTAATTACCGTAGACACGAGAATTTAAAATAAGTATAATTAGTAGATAATTAAAAATATAGTAGTGAAAATAATTAACCTATAATATAAATTATTATAGATTAAAATTAAGATAACTAATTAGTTTAATTAAAATTAAAAAAAATTAAATTAGAAAATTTAAAATAAGATTAAGGTAAATAATCATTTTTAAAAAAAGAAAAGTCAGTGAAACGGATAGAAACGACAACATGGACATGGTAAGTGGGATGGAGGGATTATTATTTTATTTATCGCATCATTTCTTTTACCAAATTTTAATAAAATTTTCATAACACATCTAATTTATTTTTTTTATATTTCACTTTAACATTAAAATACTATTACGGTATTATTTTTTAGTCTCTCTGTCTAAACAAACTTAAATAAGTTTGCCGGATAGAGAGAATATATTTTTATGTCTAAACAAACTTAAATAAGTTTGCCGGATAGAAAGAATATATTTTTATAAGAAACTATATATAAATCAATATTATTCATCCTCCATAGTTCTCAATAAAAAAAAAAAAATATATAATTTTCTTCAGAAAATATTACATCAACATGTTATTTAAACAAAAATTCAAATTGAAACTTCAAACTCAAATAAAAACATTTGTTTGATTTTAGTTTGAATTTTAATTTTCTACTTGAAATTTATGTTAAATAATATTTTGATTTGATATTTTTAAAATATAATATTATATTTTTATTTAAACCCATAAATTGATAATAAATAATAGTAACGTATTTTCATTTATATATATATATATATATGTTTCTTTAGCAATATTTTTTCAAATTTACCATTTGGAATCTGCATTTTCCGAAAAGAAAAATATTTTTTTCTCTCACAAAACATCCCATCAAATATTATTTTCATACTAAATTTAAACCAAATTTTTTTCCAAACTCATCAAAAAAAAAAAAACAGCAGAAAGTCTATTTTTTCTTAAAATTTATAACTAATATTTCAATAACACAAATTAGTAAAATAATACATTAATTCACTGTACGTATACTTAATTGGATTCGTATCCTGTGGTAGTTGCGTCTGCCTAAAGATATTGTATTATATGCAACTAAATACCAGTAATATTTTTATTTTATTGCACTTGGAACACTTCAATTTGTTGCAAGAAATATTAAATTAAAATTGTTTGATTAGATAACTAGATAAATATTTTATTATCATGTAATTTGATTGGACACAATAATTTTTTATTTTTCCTATAAAAAAATAAATAAAATCAATAACATATCATTGCTAACCGGTGACTATCACAAAAGTTTTAGCAATGCCGTGAATTTATTTTATTTTTATTTTTGTAAGTTACAACCAATATCGTTATATTATTACAAAAAATTATAGCATTCTCACAATATATCTCACTACAAAAAAAAAAAAAAAAAATAGTATATTTGTAACTGTTACGTACGGAATTTAGAATTAGGTTAAAAGCCCAAGGTAAAAAGAAGAATGGGCCTGGCAATAGAGTTGATTGAATTGGCTGAAGGACACCATGAGGAAATCAAGGAAAATAGGTTTACCTCAAGTCGGAAGGTCGGAAGGTCGGAAGGTCCTCAAGACGGAAAGACCTCAAGTCGGAAGGTCTTCAGGTCGGTAGGTCCTCAAGACGGAAAGACTTCAGGTCGGAAGGTCCTCAAGACGGAAAGACCTCAAGTCGGAAGGTCTTCAGGTCGGAAGGTCCTCAAGACGGAAAGACCTCAAGTCGGAAGGTCTTCAGGTCGGTAGGTCCTCAAGACGGAAAGACCTCAAGTCGGAAGGTTTTCAGGTCGGGAGGTCCTCAAGACGGAAAGACCTCAGGTCGGAAGGTCTTCAAGTCGGGGGGCTCTCAAGACGGGAAGTCCTCAGGACGGAAAGACCTCAGGACGGAAGGTCTTCAGGTCGGGAGGTCCTCAAGACGGAAAGTCATCAGGATGGGAAGTCTGCAGGTCGGGTAAACCGTAGATCGGATAGAAGGTGAAGTCGGGCAGACGCGGAGGTCTGTAAAGAGGAAGGTCGGGCAAGGAAGAGGTACGGACAGACGCGGAGGTCTTCGGTCAAAGACGGAGGGCGGCTGATGAGGTTGGCCCAAGTGAGGTCGGGCGAAGAAGCAGGTCGGGCGAAGGACGAAGTCGGGCCAAAAGGGCGGAAGGTCTGTAGTCGGCTCAAAGAGTGAAATATAGGGATAATTTTGGTCTGCTGAGGACGCGTGCCAGCAGGAGAAGGGTTGGAAGGCGGTTGAAATGGAGACGTTGTAACCGTTCGGGTGACGGTTTTCAGTACGGTTTCCCAGAGAATATTTAAAGGCTTGGATAATCATTTGGCAAGGCATCTTCAATCAACTTCAACAAAGCAAAGTCAGATTTGGGGATCACCACTTTAAATTTCAGTCTTTTATTTTCCAGTTTATTTTCTGTACCGTACAGTGTTTAGAGATTCCTAATCTCAGGCACTAATTAATCAAGTTTAAGGATATTTTCTATATCTTTGAATTTTACTTTATTTTTGTTGAAAAATTACATCAACAAATTGGCGACTCCACTGGGGAGCAAGACACAATTGCTCATTCCAATTCCAGCGATAATTTCATACGTCTTAGATCCGGCCGTATCATCGAAAGGGTCCATATGGCAGGTTCACAACCTCAATCATCATCGGCACCGGTGGGAGAATCCGTTCCACCACCTAATGTGCCAAATGCCGGGGAAATCCCACAACCACCAACAGATTGGTGGTCTTATGTTCAACAAATGCTGCGTGAGCAACAAACGAACATGTTGCGTGAGCAACAGAGCATGATGCAGAACATGATAGATCAAGCATTGTCAATGGTTAGTCTTCAACCCACTCAAACTCCACCAGGAGTATCACCGTCCAGACTACAGACAAATTTCGCAGGGCCATCATTCGTGGATAGTATATTTCCAAGTGCCACAAATCCCAACCGAATGGATAGGGGAAAGTCTCCTCTGACTTTTCCCAACACTGTTCCACTGGGACCAAGGGTTACCAATATGCAGACGAACAATACAAGGGAGGACAGGCCTGAAGGATATATACATGATCCTATTCATATTCCTGTGCAGGATCCGTTCCATGTTCCTGATCATCAACGCTTTCATGTAGATCCTGATGAGCTTGCACATATATTAAGGGATCAGTATGGATTAACTCCTCAGATGGCTAACCGCCCTGCATATCAGAGACCTTTCCCAGAAAGGATCATTAATGAACACCCTCTCCCAAGGAATTTTCGACCACCCGACTTTCATGCATTCTCAGGGGAGGACGGATCCTCCACCATAGAACATGTTGGTCGGTTTACAGCACAATTAGGAGAAGTTGGCAATAACCCTTTTTATAAGTTACAGCTGTTTGGTTTATCTCTTACTAGAACGGCGTTTTCGTGGTTTGTAAGTCTGCCTCCTGGACAAATTCAGACTTGGGAAGGACTGGAGATGGCATTTCACGCTAGATTCTTCAATCCTTTACCAGTTGTTTCTTTAACTGATCTTCTAGAATTGAGACAGTTTCCAGAAGAATCTGCTTCACAGTTTATAGAAAGGGTGCGATTGATGAAGGGACGATGTCCTACGGTAATCAGTGAGAAAGAGATGACCAATTTAGTGGTCCGGAATATGCATACTCGTTTAAGAAAGGCACTCACTGCCCTGGATGTTGAGGATTTGGCAAGTCTTGCATCCAAGGCAGGACGTCTAGAGTCTTTGTTCAGAGAGGAAGATCAGCATAACAGGCGTAATAGAGGCCAACATATGGCGAGTATGGGAACAGAAACATGTGACTTTGATTTTAATCAGTCAGAAGAGATGGCAGCCGAAATCCTTTCTGGAAAACCGTATGTATGCCCTAAATTGAAGCCAGTACCAGGATCTGAAGGAAAGGAGCAACCGACCTTTGATAGTTCGAAAGCTGATGAAATCTTTGATATCCTACTGACTGATGGGCAGATCCGTATTCCAAAGGGGCAAAGACTTGCCACTAAAGAAGAAATCAAAGGGAGACCATATTGTAAGTGGCATAATTCTTTCACACACACTACAAGTCAGTGTACTCATTTTAGGAAGGAAATTCAAAAGGCCATCAAGACAGGTCGGCTCAAATACATCACTCTAGGTGTAGACCAGCAACCGTTTCCGAATGTAACAACGGCAATGGTTGACATCCAACCAAGTTCGGAAACAAGGAAAAGTTCGGCCAATGATGGACAAAAAGGGGAACGAACTCAGCCAAGCCCCGGAACAAAGAAAGGAAATCAGCCAAACAGTAGGCGACCGGAAGAACGACTCAAAGTTTGTGAGAAACCAGTCGCTGAAAAATGGGACCACCCAGATGGTTCTTTTAATGTGGAGGTGAAAGAAAAGGTTTTGGTACGAGATCACCCGACCAGAAAAACAGGGTCGGTCGGGAGCAATTGGGCTCGAAATAAAAAGCCTTTACCAGTTGATTTAGATCCTCGGTTCCCAGGTATGAATCGTACACAGATTCGCAATGCCAAACGCAGGTATGCTGCAAAGTATGGGAAACGAGTTCCTTTAGCAAAACGACTAACCGACGAACAAAAAGCAGCCGACCACTTGGCAGGAGATCAGTCTATTAGAGTCTTTACAGAACAAACGACTAACGAGCAAGGAGCATCCACTCAATCTCCAAAAGGTCGGTCCAGTCGGGTCTGTTCAGGAAAGCAACCGAACGACGGATTAGGCGCTTACGACTATGCCAAAGGAAGTTCGTCGGGATTGGGGAAAGGTAAAGGGATGGCAGATGAAATAATTAAAGGTTTTAGATGCCAACATTGTGAACGAATCAACATCAATCCATCTCTTGAAGAATTCCGTATTGAATCTTTGACGGTTCAATCTCAATCTCGGGATAAGACAAAGGAAGAAGTAGTAACTACAGAGGAAAGTTCAAGATCTGTTAAATCTCGTCTGGGACCACGAATCCCTTGTCGAATGACAGAGATTAATCAGATGAGTGATGAACCGATGTGGGCGAGTCTGGTAGATGAAACTATGGACGAACCTTTATGGGCATTCTTGGCAGATGGTGAATTAGAGGAGACAGAGGGGGCAAAGACCTCAGATTCCGATCCTCAGTCGGAAACACCTTCGATTGTGTTTCCTCCTATTCCAGAGGGTGCGATCTCTCATTTGAAACCTCTGTATGTTAATGCTCACATTTGTGGGAAACCAATCACAAAGGTTTTCGTGGATAATGGAGCAGTCTTTAATGTTATGCCATTGAAGACTCTCAAGAAGCTAGGGAAAGGAATTCATGATCTGTCTCCTGTGGAATTCGAAATGACAAGTTTTACAGGGCAGCCGACTAAGCCTGAAGGCATGATGGTTGCCACGATCGAGGTCGGGCCAAAGAAGATCTCCACTGTTTTCTTCATTGTGGACGCAGATACTACATACTCTCTCTTGCTGGGAAGAGACTGGATTCATGCCTCTCAATGTGTGCCATCAACCTTGCACCAACAATTAATGTTCTGGGAAGGAAATCAGGTCTTCAAAATGGAAGCGAATGACAACCCATTCGATGTATCAGAACAAGTTGAAGAGTCAGTGTTTTATTCCAGTCCTTTGGCTCCGATGTCTCAATTGTATATGGCCAGGGAATACCCAAACAAGGGTTATAAAGTCACTGGCCAGAACTCGATGTTCTATTAAAAGAACACCTTTATTGTATGGCTCATGATAAAGCCACACCCATTCCCATATAATTTGTTTGTAATGGAAGATACAAGCTTAGAAGTATGTAGTTCTCTTATTAATAAGTTCTATTTAAAGCAGTTATTACATAAAGCAGAAAATAGTAAAGAAATTCTGGATGTTCACCTCCAAGAAGATGAACAATTTCGTTGGCCCGACTTATTAGAAAAAACAGAACCAACAGCTTCATCACAAGACCCATTATTGGAGTTTAATTTAGGAACCGAATTGGTTCCAAAAGTGATCAGGTTAAGTGGTTATTTGTCTAAAGAGCAACAAACAATGATGCTCGAAGTTATTAGAAACAACATTGATTGTTTAGCATGGGATTATTCAGAGATGCCTGGTTTGACAAGAAGTCTAATAGAGCATCGATTGCCTATCAAAGAAGGTTGTAAACCTTACAAACAACCTCCAAGGCGAATGAGCCCGGATCTGATGCCTCAAATCAAGGAAGAAATCCAAAAACTTCTCAAAGTGGGTTTCATTCAACCTTGCCGTTATGCGGAGTGGCTGGCTAATATTGTGCCAGTGGTCAAGAAAAATGGTAAGATTAGGATATGCATCGATTTCAGGGATTTGAATCTAGCTACCCCTAAGGATGAATATGTGATGCCTATGGCCGACATGTTGATAGATGCAGCAGCAGGGCATAAAATCCTTAGTCTGATGGATGGTTATGCAGGCTATAACCAAATATTTCTGGCAGAAGAAGACATTCCTAAGACAGCATTCAGATGCCCAGGGGCTTTAGGTATTTATGAATGGACAGTCATGCCATTCGGGTTAAAGAATGCAGGGGCAACTTACCAAAGAGCCATGAATTCAATCTTTCATGATTTAATTGGCAGATCTATGGAAGTTTATATTGATGATGTTATTGTTAAATCTGCTAGTTTTGACGAACATTTAAGAAATCTTGAAGAGGCATTCGAAAGAATGAAGAAATACAAGTTGAAGATGAATCCAACCAAATGTGCTTTTGGAATATCAGCCGGGAGTTTTTTAGGATTTTTAGTTCATGAGAGAGGAATTGAAATTGATGCCAATAAGGCTAAAGCCATTCTTGATAGTCGGCCACCCAAGACGGTTAAAGAAATCCAAAGTCTGTTGGGTAAGGTGAATTATTTGAGGCGTTTCATTTCTAATGCTGCTGGCAAGGTCAGACCCATTACTAAATTGTTGAAAGCTGGGAAAAATGCTTTTGAATGGGGTCCCGATCAACAGACGGCTTTAGATGCTATCAAGCAGGCATTGGTTCACCCTCCAGTCTTGATGCCTCCTAAACAAGGTCGGCCACTCAAACTTTATTTGGCAAATACATATGAAGTGGTTAGCTGTTTATTGGCACAGGATGGTGATGACGGGAAGGAAAGGGCAATTTACTATCTCAGTAAAACCCTTACAGGACCAGAACTGAATTACACTATGCCAGAAAAAATGTGTTATTCATTGGTCTTCGCTTGCACTAAACTCGAGCATTATTTGCTGCCCAGAAGAGTTGAGGTCATATCAAAGGTGGATCTTATCAAATTGATTTTACAGAGACCTACTACGAAGGGCAGACTCATGAAGTGGGCCATCAAATTGGCTCCTTTTGATCTTCAACATTCCCCTTTGAGGGCAGTCAAGGGACAAGCAGTAGCCGACTTCTTAGCAGAATTTTCGCAAGTCGGGTATTCTCATAGTGATAGCGGCCGACCACTTGGTTGTTCATCATATCTGAATACCCTACAGGTCGGATGTGTACCTTATATAAGTACCAGAACATGGTTGATGTTTTTTGATGGTTCTACCTCTGGAAACAAATCAGGGGCAGGGGTCTTTTTGCAAGGACCTGATGGTCAGAAGATCAACTTACAACTACGATTGGAAGCCATGACCCATAATTCGGCAGAATATGAAGCTTTAATTTTGGGTTTGGAGGCTTTAATTGCCAGGAAGGTCCAGTCTGTAATCATAAGGGGGGATTCTCAATTAGTAGTCAACCAGGTAAACAATCAATATGTTTGCAATTACCCTCATCTGCGCAGATACAGGGACATTGTGGGTCGGTTACTGACAAAAATCTCAGAAGTAATAATTGAGTTCATTCCGAGGAAAGAAAACCAACGTGCTGATGAATTGGCTCAAAGGGCATGTAAAGGAATTCTGGAGGATATGTGGTCGGAGGTCAAGTCGGGCATAGAAGGAAAGACAGACCCGATATGCGAAGTTACGGTCGGGCAGGAGATAGTCGCACAGGAGCCCGACTGCGAAGTTACGGTCGGGCAGGAGATAGTCGCACAGGAGCCCGACTGCGAAGTTATGGTCGAGCAGGAGACTGTCGGACAGGAGCCCGATTGCGTAGTTGATATCAGGCAGGAGTCCGACGGCGAAACAGTGCCCGATTGGAGAACAGAGCTTATCATGTATTTACAGAATCCAGGTGCGAGTGTTTCGATTGCGACACGATTGAAAGCTTTACGTTTTCAATTGATAAATGGAATTTTGTATAAAAGATCATTTGAAGGTTTACTTTTGAAATGTTTGGGGTCTAAAGAAGCTCTAGAGGTAATGACAGAAGTACATGGTGGGATATGTGGAGCTCATCGGGCAGGCCTGAATATGAGATGGGCCATTCATCGTTTGGGTTTTTTCTAGCCAAAGATTTTTCAAGATTGCATACAATTTGCCAAAGGCTGCCAGGAATGTCAGAAACATGGAAACTTAAACCATTTGCCAGTAACCGAATTGCAATTCTTGGCAAAACCATGGCCTTTTAAATCATGGGCTATGGATATTATTGGTAAGATACATCCTGCTTCATCGAAACATCATTGTTTCATATTGGTCGCGACTGACTACTTTACCAAATGGGTGGAAGTAGTTGCTTTGAAAAATGTGGATCAGAAAGAAGTGATAGACTTCGTTTTGAACCAAATTATTTACAGATATGGTATTCCTCAGTCTATAACAACCGACCAAGGCCTGGTTTTCACAGGGGAAAAGTTCTCTAGTTTCTTTGCAGAATTCGGTGTTCGATTACATCATTCTTCACCTTATTATCCCCAAGCCAATGGACAAGCGGAAGCAGCAAATAAGATTATTATTGGGATTATAAAGAAGATGGTTGAAGGGAACCCAAGAAAGTGGCATTTGTTATTGTCTCAGGCTTTATGGGCACATAGGAATACCAGAAATACGGCCACAGGGTTCTCACCTTACCAACTCACGTTTGGCCAAGATGCTGTTTTACCAGCCGAAATCCGAGTATCATCTGGCTGAACAGAATTTACTGATGGTGGTCTTACAGAAGAATACCAACAACTTATGTTGCAACAGTTAGAAGATTTGGATGTTAACCGACTCCATGCAATAGGGCGAAGTGTGAAACAGAGTGAAGTCAGAGCAAGGAGTTATGGAAAGAAAGTTCTTCACAGGACATTCCAAAAAGGAGACCTAGTCTGGAAGACCATTCTTCCTACATATAAGAAAACTGACCAATTGGGAAAATGGTCACCGAATTGGGAAGGACCATACATTGTTCAAAAAGATATTGGGAATGGTGCTTTCATTATTGTAAATCATGAAGGTAGAAGAGTACATGATTGTATTAATGCTAAATATCTGAAGAGGTATTATCCTGCCTTTTCAGATAACAAAACTGCCTGAAGCAAAATATTATTCTCAGAACCCATTTGTGGGGTTCGAACCTATTTAAAGGTTCAGTTCGGTTAGTCATCATGTATTTGTGAGAAATTTTCTGCCTCTGAATCAGACTTTTCATCCCAGTGAGTGGATATTAGCTCTGGTTCTTCTTCAATAAGATCTTCCAAATCTGGTCGGTACCTTTCCCATTGGCTTTGCATGTCGTCTAGATCTTGATGGGTACGTGCTTGCATGTCCGTTAGGGCTTGATGTTCACGGTCAACGATGGTACGCAGTCTTGAAAAGACTTTTCGTTGATTGGAAAATATATTATCCCAACCAAGATCTGGAAGTATGGTTGCTGCGTGATTTTCAATCATTTCCATGTGATGATGGAGGTCAGGAATGCGACCAACGATGTCACGAAGAGGTTCATACCCCTCAATGATTTTTTCCATTAGGCGGATGACGCGATGAATGTTTCTTCTTCCTCGTTGGGAGAATCGGAATTTGAAGTCTAGTTGCTTGAGTATATGTAGCAAGTCTTCTGCATGGCCTCCAATAGGGTGATTACCCACAAAGAAGGGTTGAAGAACACCTTCCCAGTTGCTTGATGGAACATGAGGTCGATCATTCGCCATGTTTGTTAACACTTCAAGTGTTTTTGATTTTCAAAATATGCCTTGGAATGTGTTTCTTAAAATGTGAGAAACAATGTTCTTTTAAAGAAGGAGTTTGTTTCGATTCCTACAAAGTTGGAAATTGAAAGGTGATCCTTGTCTTGAGAGAAGAAAGAAAAAATGGATTACTAAGTCAAATGTTGTTACAAAGGGGGAAATATTACAACAGTGCCCCTAGGGCAGTTTTTATATGTGTCCATTTGATTTCATCCCTGGATAGCCTTCTGGTATTGGCAGCCGTCTGATATCTTATGATGAATTGGGATCGGGCTTGGGTTTTCAGCTCTTGATCCAATTCAGCTTCATTCTTGGTATACCTCTCAAGCAGACACTGCTCATTGGTAACTTGCTTATCCAGGGTAGACTGTTCTTTCCTTAGTTCCCGCAATTCTGCCTCCTTTTTCTGAATGGCTTCATCAACTTGAGCCTTCGTGCTAAGGAGACCGCCCAGCCTTCCAGTAGTCTGCTGAAGGGATTCTCGGGTCTTGGCCAAAGAATTTTCCAGTGTTGTTTGATCGAAGTCGGGCTGGGGGGTTTCGGCTGACAGGAGTCCAATGACTAGTACTTCAGTCTTGAGCTCTGTAAGTCTTTCCATCAGCCGATGTAGAATGGGGACGGCTGGAGATTCCGTCGGAGTGTAGAAGAGAAGGCCACCAACCGTCT